TTTAGACTTCAGAAAAGATTCGCGACTCCACGGTTCATTTCATGCAACTTCCCCTAATAGCCCGGATCTCAATGTGATTGAAAATCTGTTTTCTGTTTTGAAGAGAGAGGTCAATGTGCTGTCTATACATTGAACAATGGAGGCAAAAGTGTGACACGCAATAGAGCACAAGATAGAAAATGACTTCATAACAAAGTTGGTGGATTCGATGCCGAATAGACTCGAAAACGTCCCAATGAACAAAGGCAGACCAATCGACTGTTAGTGTACATAAACCTCACATCTTAATTAGTATGAATGTTAATTTGTTGTAAATAAAAACTGTTCCATTCTCTTAAATTACCTCCTAACTCGTCATGCTGAAGGTCAGCCACTACTGACGAAATAGGAGTATCTTGTACATTTTGAACCATTCCATCTGCTGAGTATAAACGAATCAGGAAAATCACTCCTATAAAGACTCACCAACGCTTGTTTTTTATTATTCGGAAAAAGGAAATACTTCAGTATAAACGCTGTTGCCTATACGGACTGAGAAGTTTTTGACAGGGACTCGTTGTTTCAGTTTCGATGAGACCTGTATAAAACACAAATTATATAGGTTACTTTCCACTAAAATGAGTAGCAACAGCAAATTTGTTTCATGCTCCATACTGAACCTGTCATTGTTGATGCTTTAATCACCTTTCGAAGAGTGTACATCAGTCACAGGGAATGAAATAATTTGTTCGTTCCGGTCGATTATGTGAGCACCTACATGCTTCCTAGTCCTCGATATTTCCATATCTCCGCAAATGTGAACGGCACATTATTTTGTCGGAACGTACACATAATTCGCATGCAGTCTGCCCGTGCAAAACGCATCGCAAGTTACCCAGCACAGCTCGCGTACCGAATGACCAGTTTAATCAATTTTCCAACGCATTGCTCTGAATCGGTCGGGGTTGGCTTTGACTTGTAGTATTCGAAGTTGCGGATGCACTATTTTATTGACCTCTGACAGCTGGTTTCCGGGATTTATTGTTGTCTTCTTTGGAACAGAACCACATCTTGTTCCAATATGTCCCGATTGAATTCCCATGGTTTGAAGACACTAGTGAGACGAGTATGTTCCTTAGTCGTGACTGAACTGTTTTCGTTTATCCTATTTCTTGTTTCTTGTATCCAGTCTATCTAACACACTGGGATATTAGTTCAGCACGTTATTCATTATTTCCGGTTACGTTTTGTTTATTCATTTACGCACATTTTTGTGTGTCATGAGTACAGCTTGAAAACACTTGGTGCGCATTACACGTTAGACTTACTGTGACGCGCATTATTCACCGTTTTCTACATATGTTAAACTGATCAAACGTTTCCGATGGTTCTCCATTAAGTGGATCTCTCCTACGAGTTCAATGGTAGATGCATTTTGGTTCACTCGCTCTTTAACACACGCAATCTGGTGCATATGTGAACATGATCGTGAACACACTGACATCGAAGACAATGCGTGAACCAAACGAATATGTTTCACGATTTCAATTGATTGAACCTTTGTCCTTATTGTCTAATTGTCATATTCGTCACGGGACGCGTATTTCAGTCAGCCAAGTCACATGCTCTGCGATGGACAAGTTCCATTCTTTACTGACCGGTCTAACTGTAATCTAACTTCTGCCTAAACTGCACAATTTTGGATCAAGGATCGGGTTAGGAACGATCAGTTCATAATGGACTATATGTCCTAACCTCGGACGCAACCAATTCAGTGCATTGTTTCCGGCTGACGGTAGATGAGGACAAGTGCTTTAGCGAGATTCCAAACTCATCGGTAATGGTCACAGTTAATTACCGAGTATGTGTAATGATCTTAACCTAGAGGATAACGCTATTCACGGAGAGACGGGTTACAGTTTCTGGACAAATGTGCCGAGTCAACTTTCCCGGATCACACCAACCAAACGGTTACACGTTTCACTTTCTAAACAACGAACCACACGCCGATCGTGTCGACCAATAAGAAGCAGTGCGGTCCAGATAGAAGCTGTATGACCTCAAGAATATAGACCTGCGATTGGCGGATATCTAAATAGCCAACAAACTTTCTTTGTACATGTCATAAAACTCCTTTGATTTCTTTCAATAAACGAAATGCTACTTCTGTGACCTTTTCTTTGCCTCTGGGTTACGTCAGATATCAGCGTACAAATTCCAGTGTGATTCAAAGTTTACGTGGCGTCCTTGATTCGTGATATGTGTCTACTTCAACTGCTATAGCATTCGACCAGTGAATTCGATACGTAAATAAATTCATATATATGTCATTCTTACTTTCAATTGGTTTCAAAACATTCCACCCGGTTCGCAGTGTACGATTTATGTTCCTCTAAACATGATACTCGGTGATAAATCCTTATACGTACACCGGAAATACAATCGGGCAAGGGGTTTGAACCTGCGTCACACAGACAAATAAAAACTATTTCCTTTGTTTCGCACCTCGTCGTTGATGCACCCATTTGAGATGCACATACCAAGTTAGCCACCTCTCATCCTGGTCAGCAAGTTGCTCTCAAATTGCCGCGCAGTTAAAATTGTATCCGGGAGGTGTGTTCATCTAGTTTACACGTATTGATATGCATGCTATGACGATCTGACATTCGCGAGAATCATTCCCGTCCAACACCTCATGTTTTGAGCCACAATCATGGAGCTGAAGATGATATCGCTTCACACTGAACGCAGTATCTGATTAGGACTGGTTGCACACTGTTTTATAGAATCGAAACGGCACAGATTACTTCAAAATGCATGGAATATGTATAAACTGTCTTCTTCAAACGCTACCTGCGACAGAACTCAGTAAAACGGATATACTTAAAAGAAAACCTAGGACAGCGCATTTTTGTCTTTGAATTCTCTGTGCCTTCTGCAGAACCATTTAGCATGTCTGAGAGCTGTTGAATGTATTCCTGATCATGGAACGGTTAGTGGTATTCCTTTTCAGCAGATTGTCCACATTATCATGAAAAACAACATCACACCGGAACAACTCAGGCCTGAAATCTGGAGGCCAACGTGCGTGTCTCCCATCAAAGAAAATATGATCCTTTTGAGGATCAAGCAACTGTGATAGGCTACGCTGATGCATGAAACATCATTCAAATGGGCATGCCCTAGGCGTGGTAGGTTTAGTAATCGGCATGAAAAAAGGTTCGTTCTTTGAACAGGCCCTAATGACTGTGGAAAGTCGCTCTCTGGATGGATATGTTTTGATCGCTCAAGCAATGGACACCTTATTTTATTGAATATTCAAATCGGTTCAGATTATGATTTGGTTTCTTGTTCGATTCCAAAAATGTCAGTAACATCCGCCTATCGATGACCGGAAACAAACCGAACGGAAACTTGGACCTCAGGTTTTTCTATACCACCTGGGGAGTCCACATTTTTTATTTATTTATCTCAACGCGGTTTATTAGCATCAAATACGGTATTGGGAGTGATAATCATTACCGTAAATTTCAATATTTCAAACAATCATTATACGCTTTGCAATCTTAGTTCTGGTGCAAAAAGATATAGATTTAATGGATCGCTTCAAACGACATAAATTAGATTCTGGTGGGTTAAACAGAAGGCAGACAGGTATTGCATAAATATTTATCGCTCATTGTTCGTAAATTTGCGGAAAATATTTATGCCTCTGAATGTTATAGAAAAATAAAAGTAGCTTCTACCCCCCCCCCTCCAA